GAGTCAAATCAAGTATTTTATGAATAATTCCAAGTAAATTTTTTTTACTCCACTGGCAGAAATTTTTGACTTAATTTGAGTCAAATTTTCAGACTAACGAGACAAATAATCTTACATATTCTGAAAACAAGATCAAAAAGACTTTTTGGCTGGATATACGATTTTAAAACTTGGTTAGGTGGACAGTTTTTGCAGTGTGGAATAGTAGGCTTCATAAAGCTCAGTAATTTCTGGAAAACTTACAGTTTACTGCATTTTACTTTAAAAATGAAAAATAAAAAGCTAACAGGCGAACCCTGTGGATTCAAACATTTTTTCGCCAAGGTTATAAACAAAAACAAAAATACAACATGTAGCTCTTGAATTGAGCTCCTACTGTATCAAAAATTACCTCAAAAACTGTAGAACTGACTGAATTACAGTGATTATTCGTGGTTTTTAAGTTAGCTGTGGTGGACATCTTGAATCAGGTTTGATTTCAGAGTAAGTACAGATGCATGTCCAGTGATTACTGTCATAGTTTCATTAAAAGACATTTTGTCCTTCATGAAATATTTAGCTAACAAACAGTCACAAGCCACCACATGATCACTTCATGGCAGCTGGCATTAAAAACGATCAGAGAGAGTTAACCTTCAGATTTTACAGCAGATTAAAAACTAAAAATATTCATTATGTCTTGAACACGTTGGTGCAGTATGTGCTGTTTGAAAAGAAGAAGCAAACTCCCTGTATTCCTCAGATCAGACTGGATTATTAATGTTATTTGTTGTTTTTTTTTATGATAAAAACCAAACAAAATGCTGACATTATTACTTTATGTTGAAACATTCATGTGAACAGAGAAACCTCGTGACATCTTTTCTTTAAAACACAGTTTGCTCTGCTGCAGCTGCTTGGCTAAATTCATTCATTGTTGCAGCATCTCAAGTGACTTTCTCCTTTTTTTTTGTACGAAGCTGCAAACCGAATGACTGCACACAAATATTCCAACCGTACACAAGCAGATTGGTTTTTAATTTCAGCCCACACACAGAACAGATTAACTCTGAGGAGCTTTAGGCCTTGAAACCAAATATATATTTTTGTCCTTGAATTAATTGGCCTGAAATCGTGTCATGTAATTGTGTGTTTTTTTTCCCCCAACAATTCAGTGCGAACACAGATATAAATTAATCATCGTCAGACCCACTGTGATGCAGCTTCCAAGATGCTGGAGCAGAGATGATGAAAATAATTTATAAGATGTCTAAAAGTCTTTCACAAAAAAAAAGTATTCCAACGTAGGATGCCGTTGCTTTGAAAGTGCCTTTGAGCCAGGCATTTTCTTTAATTAAACCCCCCTCCACCCCGGGGCTCGGTGTTAAACCAGACGCACTCTTCCAGCTTGTGTTTGATTGGAATCTTTGGAAGGGCGGCGTTTCCAGAGGCCACTCACGCACACCGATCCCTGCGTGCGTAAATTGACAGCTGTGCCATGGCAACAGTTTGGCTAGTTGCCAGGATGTTGGGGTTACCAGGCAAAAAGGTTCCCATGGCAACCTCCGTTTTGCCATCTTGGTACGCGAGGGTTGGCRTCAACCAAGGAGGATTACAGCGCAGGACAGAGAACTGTTTTCACCTGGGAAGAAAAAGAATAATAATTTGCATTTCAGCCGCTCGTGGCGTCAAAAGGCGCACTGCAACATCGAGGCAAAAAATAAAAAAACAAAACCGATGCATCCAAAATAAATAAAAAAATCAGAGGTGGTTTCTTTTTATTCATTTTTGTTTCCCCCCAGGGATGCATCATTTTCATTTTCTCCACAAGACAAACCGGTGAAAACGTTCTGCTGAGGCTGGGCCTAAAAGTGACACAGTTATCAAACTTTGTGGACAGTTGGTGCAAAATAATCAAGCCTGTGAGGAATTTTGAACTCAGTGACACCACTCCTCTTTTTTTTCTTTTCTTCTTCATCTTCTTCTTATTTTTTTTTAGGAAGAGCTTTAGATATTTTTCATAACGAACTGGATTTTTCACGGCCCAGGCGGGGCCGCTTTAGGGCGAAACGAGAGGAAGAGTGAAGGATGGCTGACACTGGCGCAATTACGCCGTATTTCTGTGTGAATTCACAGTGGAAATCTCACAGAGACGAGGGGTTAATCTTGTAGGGGGTGGTGAGAGAGAGAGAGAGGAAAAAAAGGCCGTCCATCCGGCTCAGCGAGACAGAGGGTGGTTAAAAGGGTGAGAGGCTAAAAACGGGGACCAATCAAGGCTAAAGCAGAGAAAAGATTGAGCGTGTGAGGAGGAGAAGGCGAGCAGGAGGGCGGAAAGGGTTCAGCGGATTAAAAGGAAGCGGCAGGGGAAGGAAAAAAACAAAAACAAAAAAACAAATACAGCCTATCAAACACAAACCAAAAGATAAATGAGAAGTTTCAAATCGACTGTGGATTTTWTTTGTTGAAACATGGATTCTTTTCATTCCAACACACCGAGCAACAATTCCAAGCTCCCATTTACTCCTTTTTCAACACCGCAAATTCTTTCTTTCTTTTTTTAAATTCTTTAAAATATCTACAAGTCCTAAATTGACTTTGATTGCATCTGTTATTGCATTTTCTGCTCCGATAAGGGCCTGCTGAGATTCTTTCAATGGCATCCTGACAGCACATCATCTTGCCCCAGTTATGTCTGAATCAGTGCTTGGAGTAACCCAACACTCCTGGCTCGTAGCTGCTGGAATGCACCGCTCTGCCAGCCGTCATGCTCTGCACAACAATTATCCTTTTCTGCAGAAAGCGCCCGAAATGTTCGGGTTTTAAAAGTCATTGTATTTTTTTATTTCATTTTATTTTATTTTATTTTTTACACTTTCTGACGTGTGGAAAAACTCCGCATCGACCACGGCGCAGAATCAACCGCGATTAAGACATCTCACATCTTGACATGACAGCAGAACTGATGTTAATGACAGATGGTGGATGCTGTTCAACTCCCATGAAAACCTGACAGCTGTTTAGCAGAATCGCAGCGAGATGAAACGCTGCAGCCGTTAATAAAGTCGGGATTATTGCTCTTTTATTTTTGTTTAAGAAAAAAAAATTATTGAAGTTGTTGCCCCTTTTTTTAAATCAACACAGACAGTTGTGTTGCATCTGTTATAATTGCTCTGTTGTTGAGCCCGATGAAAGAATTGGAGATTAGTGGACTGAAGAAGTGAGCTGTAGTTTGCACAGCCACCACTAGAGGGCAATGACACATAAGAAACTGGATGAAATGCTGCAAATAAATCAAGGTTGTGAAGCCTTTGTAGTACTCACACCTGCATGAGGAGCTTAGATAATGGGGTAAAGAATCGGTATTGCCTTGTTACAGTATATTTGTCCATGAAAGTTGTCTTATATTTGTCCTTCACTGGAATCCATCTATAAATACACAGAGAAAGATGGATTTTTAGGCTCTTCATATTATAGTTCTTGGCTGCGGTTCTGCCGTTCTTGTAAATTGCTCAACCCCCCCCCCCCTACTGCAGCCACTGGACATTTGCCTTCCTGTGGCGTCACTGCAGCACTCCGTGCATTTCCATGAAAATGCAATCAAGACCGCGGATCGAAACCTGATTTAATTAGTGAACAGTGTTAAAATGGGTTCTTTTTTGTTTGGTTCATCACATTTCTATCAACTCTGGTGCTTCATTTCAATAGAAAAGTGGTTGGCGCTGACCCAAGGAAGTCCACGTGGAGTCTTTATATGTAAATTAAACAAAAAATTTAAATCAAACAGGAAAATCCCCTTTAAGCTTGTACACGTTCGCCACTAAACTTATCAACAGTCCTATGGAAAGAGTAAAGAGGGACATGAGGTAATTGGTCGTCTGGAGGACAGAAGGCAGACAGGTGCAGAGTGTGTGTTTACACACACCTACGTCCTGCTGTTGAAAATCTTGTCTGGAGAGCAGCTCAACAATCTGTGCTCTGCAGTGTGAGGTAGTTGGTTGTATGGTTTCGCATAATAAACAGCCCGGAGATAACTGTACAACCTTCTAGCTTTCCCTGCGGAGTCACTTCATGCCACGAGCAGCAGACCACCAGCAGGGAGGTAAGTATGTTTTGTTACTCTGCCACAGCAACTCCTGGTGTTTCACAACAGGACTTTTTCCAGCTAAAGCGCCGTTTTTWCCCCCCTCTGTTTTTCCCTCTCGAGGTCTAATAACGCAGAGTCCTGTTCAAGAGCCCTTCTTGTGAGTTTATCAGAGATGATGTGGGCAAAATCGTGTGGCAGCCGGACGTGTTTGCTGTAAGCTGCACAGTAATCAAGAGCCTCACTGCAGCAAAAATACCGAGCTTAAACACCTTGGTTTTTCTATTTGATAAAAGACCTTCAGTAAAATTTTTACTTGAATATCAGTTGCTATTTATTTTATTTAATAACTCTTTTTGTCTTCTTTTTCTTTCTTTTTTTCTTTCAATAATTTAGGACCGTTTTAAATAAGCATATTAATAAGCAACAACAAAAAACTATTTGTTATAATACAACCGTGCT